GTAATCAGTATCCTATAGGTCGATAAATCGCATGAATTAAGGATGTGAAAAGTTCAGTCACACAAGAAATGTTTGATTACCAAATTTTATCCAATTGCATTGATGGCCGATCTATGAATTTTGCCGAGTGCTGCGTCATCAAAAAATCCAGCTGCCATAAAATTTTTATTTATTCATTCTTCCAAAAATTAAATAGGAAGTTCCAAGCGAGGTCAAAAATAATTGTCCGAGTTTATTTCCAAGCAGTAAAACTCTCTTTATTTCTATTTCATATATTACCTGGTGCTGTGCGGCCCACATATTTATTCTACTATTTCATTTGATTTCAGGATAAGAGATCACTTCGTCAAGGACCTCGACTCTGGAATTCGAAAAATGGATTTCTGTAACTTTGTTACTGAACACCTTGGGCGAACTGGATATCGAGACGTGTGGCATTTACTSAAAATAGCCTATCCACACGTCGACCGCGTGAGAAAAGGAAGGAAGTATATGTACTGGGGCATCAAACATAAGACAATAGAACAGACAGACAGTATTCTTGAGTCACAAAAGGCAATCGAATGTAATAATAATGATTGTAATAATGCCCAAGTCCTCCAAAAGACATCGGCAGTCGATGATGGCACGGATAGCGAAGCGTGTTTTGAGCGATGTCCTTCAATCAAAGTTAAATCTGAAAAAATGYCCGACGAAGAAGACACAGCAAAATCGGATAACTTCTTAGTTATGGAATTCAAGGAAAAGGACGTGTTCGAAAGTTTTGAAGATTATGAAAAGTCAAAAGAAGATAGGYTATGTAATGGGCAAAACAATGAAAGATGTGTGACTCCACCGCTCGTAATTTTCACAGAGCACCAAATGACTGATTCCTCTGAACTCCCCGACAAGAAGAATGCATCTAATAAACAACCCGACAAAAAAGATGAGAAATCCATTGAATCTTCATSTGTTTTTCCGTCAGAGGCAAACGAAACTGCCTTTACAACAAACTTGCTCAAACCTGAGAACATTAATCGTGTGTGTATTCCACTAATGCAGGACGTCAAGAAACGCAAAAACAAAGGCATGTTATTGTATCATGTATTGTATTGTTTTGTCCAATTKTTTGACAGCGGTAAGATAAAGCTAGCCTCCTCCACAGGCATCACTAAGAATCACAGGTTTCCTGTCTTTTTGAGGAGTCAAAAGAGGGAGCCATTATGACCGTTACAAAGTAAGTCCAAAAGAGGAAAAAAGAGTTGCCTGTGGAGGAGGCTAAGATAAAGCTGTCCTGTGGATAAGCAATCAAGTAACTCAATATTTATCCTTAAAGTGTGGATCTTGTTCGATCTTAGATATCGATATTTTAATATATTTATAATGATATTATTTAAGGTGATGACAACACTGCCGAGGTAAATGATGAAAACCATAAGATAAATCCTGTTATAGTATCAGTGGCAAGTATTGGGAAAAACACAGATCATAACACAGACAAAACTACTGCAGGTGATGTTCAAGTTGTGGTTGTTCAAGATAGAGGAATTCAAGTGTGCGAAACATCTTCTAAYACCACCCAAAGAAGRAAACGAAATGCTGCACAGGCCAAATCCACTGATTGCAACGTACAACCATTATGTGCAACCATGACAACTGTCTGTCACGACAAGGGCGACTCGAAACAGCAACCAACCAGCACCAACTCGAGGAAGAAGATGAAAAGTGTGGCAGAAAATACTCCAACTGTTGCTGTAAAGACGAAATGTACTGCAAGACAAGAAGATACTTCAAACTTTATCAAGGTACAAACAGCTCCCACTCAGGCATTGTTGTCGAGAGGCTTCACACCTAGCGTTACATCAACTGAACAGATCAGCGGTCATAGCATAGTAGTAATTAAACCACCCGTTAAAAGTTCAACTGCAACTATTAGTACGACTTCTAACGTTGCATCATCACCTTATATCATGCCATCTCTTTTGAATGATCGAAATTACAAAGCTTCCGGCGGCGTTGTTATGCATGCGGCATCTAATCTCCCGACGCATTACCGAAATAGTAACAGCAACAGAGAGAATCAAATGATGGAAATGCAAACTCATGGTTCCCGCGCTAACCCAAACGCTGTTCGGCAAGTAGCCGAACGTCCTGATTATAATCAATTTAGAAATCGAGAACTTGTGCGTAAACTTCTTGAGGAACATGAATCTCAGAGAAACTCGAAAGATTCTACTTCAGAGAATGATTTGCAGTACACTGTTGATTGCCTTTCTGCAGAACTTGAAAAGGAACGCTCTTTGAGATTACGTTTGGAGATTGAACTTCGCAAAGTTGAGAATCAGCTTGATCAAGAACGAAAACTGAACGAAAAACTTGCAGCTTTGCTGATGAAAAGATAAATGATACTCAAGTAGCTAAAGATTATTATTTATATTTTTAAATAGATGAGGTGACGGTTTTGGCGGCCATCTAGGACCGGTAGGCAAAGTGTCGCAAAATAACAAGGATAGACCAGGAAATCGATGTCGAATAATTCTCGCTGAATTCAAATTCGGAAAGAATTATCAATTGCAAACGTTAGATACTACAAAAGGGAGTTAACTGGCCAATCTTGAAGGATGTACTTCATCTAGGGAGCGAGTAAATTTATTTTGAGTTCTCAATACATTTCTTTGTAATTTTCACGCGCGACGCGGTGATGACCCCGGAAATTACAAAGAAATGTATGGGGAACTAAAAATGAGTTTACTCGCTCTCTAGATCAAGTACGCCCTTCAAATTTGGCCGGTTAACTCCTTTTTACAGTATCTAACGTTTGCAATTGATAACTCTTTCCGAGTTTTGAATTCAGAGGGAATTATTTGACATCGATTT